TTCAAGTTTTGAAGGATTTTCGCGTCCCCGCCATTTCGGACTTCCGTCGGCTCGAGACAGCCTAAGAAGCCTCCAAGATAGTTCCACGGCCGCCCTAGATGGCCCCAAACTAGCCTAAGAGGCCTCCAAGACGGCTTCAAGACAGCCCAAAAGGGCTCGTAGACAGCGCAGGACTGGCCCAAGAGGGGGTTGGACCCAACGGGCCTCCGGAGGGACCCGAAGCGGCCTAAAAACACCCCCTAGGCGGCCCAAGACGGCCCCCCTCCAGGATGGCCGCAAGAACCCCCTAGACGGCCACGTATGCCCAACGACAGCCCCAAGGCGGCCCTCAAAACTGCTCCAAAAGAACCCAAAATGTGACTGGTCACCTGTTCCTCCTCCTCCTCCTCCTCCTCCTCCTCCTCCTCATTTCCACCATCCTCGTCCTCGTCATCTTCATTACCACCACCACCACCGAATCATTATCGGCTTCGGGGCCGAATCCCCCCCTGCGTCTTCTAGGATTTTGTTTTGTGGGGGGCGGAGCGCGTGGTCACCTTGCTGCTGGCATCGTCGCGGTATGCACGCTGTGCTTTTCCTCGGCGTTGCTTCCCCTCTCTCTCCCCTCTCTCTCTCTCTTTCTTTCTCTCTGCCGTCCTCAGGCTAAACATCAGCCTAAGCCTAACCTGAGCCTCAGCCTCTGCCCAGCCTAGTCTCAGCCTCAGCCTCAGCCTCAGCCTCAGCCTAGCCCACGCCTGGCCTAAACGTAAGCTTCAGCCTAAGCATGGCCTAAGCCTGGCCTGGACCTCGGCCTCAACTTGAACGCCAGCCTCCGCCTAGCCGAAGCATCAGCCGGAGCAGCCTAGCCGAAACCCATCCGAAGTCTCGGCCTCAGCCTCAGTCTAAACATCAGCCTCAGCCTCAGCCTAACATAAGGCTCAGCCTCGGCCTCAGCCTCGGCCTACGCCTAGCCTCGGCCTCAGCCTCAGCCTCAGCCTAGCCTCACCCTCAGCCCTGCTACTGCTACTACGGTACTCGGGTACTACTACCACAGCATAATTACAACAGTACTACAACTAACGTGCTCTAGTACTACTACTCCCCACAGCACTATTACGACTACAACAGTACAACAGTACTGCACTGCTCCTCCTGCCATCACTCTAGCGTTACCAATACTACTGTACCGAAGCATTACTTCGACTTCAGTGGGGTGTTGCTGTACTACGGCACTACAGAATTATGGTGCGGCTACCCTGCTTGAGTACTCCATCCTGCCAGTATCAGAGCACTACCAGTACAGTTAGTACAGCAGTGCTACTGCCCCCGTGCGGTACTACGAATATTAAAAGGCACCACTACAGCACTACAGTATTATAATATTACAACCGTGCTGCAATAATACATTATTTGGAAATTCCTACCACAGTACTGTAATACACTTACTGCAGACAATCGTACAGCACTGCTCATACGAATGCTGCACTAGAGTCCTGGTCGACAGTGCCAGTGCTTAAGTACATCACGATTCCACCATAGTACAACACTATTCTTGCATTGCTACCACTAAACCACTGCAGTTCGAGGATACTACTGCTGTGCTCGAGTACTACAGTAGTGGACCACCTCTACTACAATACGACGGTGCGACTACTCCAGCACGTCCTAGACTGTAATATTTATTGCAAGATCTGAATCTTTCCACTGCAACTACAAGACTACTACCGTGCTGGCACTTAATTAATGCAATACGGCTACTGGCTGAGTGCGGTATCGAAGTATCCCAGTACAATACTAGATATTCGCTACTGCAATACTACTGCTACAATATTATACCACGACTATTACAGCGCCACCACTACAGCACTGTAGTATTATAGTGCTACAGCGATGCTGCGATACTGCGGAGTATTTCTATCATTGTACAATCGTACACCCACTGCAGGCAATAGTACAGTACTGCTCATACGATTACTGTACTGGAGTGCTGCTTCTACACGGTCAATGCTACAGCAGTACTGCACTACCCCCTATATTGCAACGCCCTTCCTATACCACTACTGCTAGAGTACTGTTCTGCGGCTAGCACAACGCCACCGCTACAGCACTACAGTATCAGAAAACTGCAACAGTGCTGCGATCCGGCGGCATTGGGGAATTCCTACTACACTACTGTAGCGCACCCATTGCAGATAATCATATGGTACTACTCTTACGAATACTGTGTTGGAGTAGTGGTTTTACAGTTCCATTGCTACACCAGTGCAGCACTATTCCAGAATAGCACAGACGCATTCCTACAGCACCACAGCTAACATATCAGAAATCGAGGATGCTACTACTACCGTGCCTGAACTGTACAGCAGTGGACTACTTCTACTACAGTACGGCAGTTCGACTGCTACAGCAAATGCTAGAAGATGACCTTTTCTGCAAGACCTGAGCGGTACCACTGCAACTACAGGGCTGCTGCAGTGCTGCTTCCTCATTAATGCAAGACTACACCTGGCTTAGCACGGTATCGCGGTACCACCAGTACAATACTAGAGCCACTACTGCAGTACTTCGGCTACAGTATCATGCTACGGCTATTCCAGTGTCACCACTACAGCACTACAGTACTATAGTGCTACAGCGATGCTGCGATATTGCGGCATCGGAGTATGCCTACGGCGGCCGGCACTAGTAGTGTACCACTCGTACGAATACTGTACTAGAGTACTGCTTCTATGCCACTGCTACAACAATGCAGCACTACTTCCCAACAGTGCTATGCGATGTCTATGCAATGTGACTGCAAGGGGGTCGGGAGGGAGGAGGGGGGGCAGAGGGGGAGGGGGGAAGGGGAGGATGGGAGGTTTGGGGTGGGTGGGAGAGGGGGAGGAGGGGGGGGGGCAACACAACAAGAAAATCAGAAAGACACAAACGTTAAAAAACATGGGTTGTTTTCCTTTCTTTCCTTTTGCACCCCCCCCCAGGTTGCAAACCATTCCCCTTTGGCACGACTCGTGCGCGACGCAAACGGAAACGCAACGCACGCGGGCCGCGACGCAAACGGAAGCGGAAACGATCCAGGCACCCCCCCCACTTCCCCCACCCCAAAAAAGAAAACAACGAACGCCCCAACCACCAAAAAACACGGAAACCGAACAGCAAGCCTAAAACTTCAAAAACGCAGGGGGGGGAATTCGGCCCCGCAACCATTATTGTCACCATCATCATCAGCATCATGATGATCACCGCCACCACCACCACCATGATCATCATCCTCATCCTCATCATCATCATCATCATCATCATCATCACCAACACCACCACCATCATCATCATCAACATCAGCAACGCCATCATTACCATCATCATAATGATCATCATCCACATCAACATCACCATCATCATGATCATTACCATCATCGTCATAATCATCATCACCAACGTCGTCGTACTCATCATAATCGGTATCATCATCACCACCAATACCACCATTATCACCATCACCATCACCATCATCAGCATCAGCATTATCATGATCGCGTCATCCCCATTACCACCAGCACCACCGAATAGCAATCACCACCGTCATCAACATCTTCATCACCACCAACACCACCATAATCAGAATCATCATCATAATCGTCATCATCATCATCCTCATTGCCATCATCATCATCATCATCATCATACTCAGTGTCATCATCATCATGGTCATCACCGTCATGGTGTTGTTTGTCGCCCTCGTCCGCCACTGTCCTCGTCTTATTCTCATCGTCCTCTTTTTTTGCATACCCATCATACTTGTAATACTACTATCATCGTTACCGTTATCGCCGTATCAACATCAAAATCAACATCATCATTCTCACTATCGCCATTACCGTCATCGCCCACCGCCAATCAGTATCATCATCATCATCATCACGGGCGCCATTACCATCATCATCATCATTATCATCTCGTCATCCTCACTACCAATACCACCGAATAACAATCACCATGATCATTAGCATCATCATCACCACCAACACGACCATCATCATAGCCATCAGCAGAATCGACATCATCAACATCCTCTTCGCCATCATCATCGTCATCATCTTCATCGTAGTCATGTTCGTCATGTTGTTGTTCGTCGCCCTTGTCCGCCACAATGCTCCTCCTGATGCTCATCCTCCTCGTCCTCAACATACTCTTCAAAATTATAATGATCTTATCATCGTCATCGTCATCCCCATCAACAACAACAAAATCAAAATCAATATCATCGTTATCACCATCATCGGCATCGTCTATCGCTCAACACCTATCACCATCATCATCATCATCACGGTCGCCATTACCATCATCATCATCATCACCATCAGTATCATCATCATGATCATCACCATCACTAACATCATCACCATCACGATTATCACCATCACAATCACCATCATCATTATCATCATCATTATCATCATCACTGTCATCATCATCATCATCATCATCATCATCATCATCATCATCATCATCAATTACCATCATCATCATCACCATCACCATCATCATCATCATCATCATCATCATCATCATCAGCGATTCTAGCACTTGCAACCGATAATTCTGGGCTGGCACAGTGGCGGGATTTGCCGCAGGCAGCTGGATAGATTACTGAGAGCTTCAAGGAGACTGCAATGCTTCTCTGATAGCTTTTCCCACCAAGACGTCGTGAGCACAGCAACACCCATCTGGACACAGAAACACCCATCTGGGACACAGAAAGCAAAACACCCCTCTTCTCTGTGACAAGGTGCCCGGGTGACTGGGCTGAACGGGCAACCACATGACCAGGTGACCCGGGGTGCCCGGGTGACTCATTCGTGACCAAGTGACCGAATGACCGGTTGACTAGGTGAGGGGGTGACCAAAGGACAGGGTGACCGTGTGACTGAATGACCACGGGGCCGGTGACTGACCAGGTGACCTGAGCATGTTTTCCACAATAATCGCATATGTATGTTACCGATTGTCAAGATAAGTTGTGTGTAATTTCGGCCTGGCGCGTAGCATCACAAATCTCCAGACGCTGTGGCGGCTAGCGGAATCTCGCGTTCCTCTCAGGTCCTCTACGCAAGCATCAGGTCAGGTGGCGTGCAAAGTGCCCCTGCAAAGCTCGGCTGCGAAGAGAGAAAGAGAGAAAGAGAGAGAGAGAGAGAGAGCGAGAGTGAGAAAGAGAGAAAGAGAGAGAGAGAGAGAGAAAGAAAGAAAGAGAGATAGAGAGCAAGAAAGGCACAGAGCGAGAGAGAGAGACATATTTGTATGAAGCTGAAAGGCGCCAGGCAATTTGGCCGGAACCACGAATAAAAACGGATAATGAAGAATCGTGGTCACCAGGCGAACTTGGAGACCACCCTGTCCCTTACGCCTGGTGCGGGCAGTATGGGGCATCTTCTTTTGCCAACTGTGCCACGCTTGCCAAGATCCCGCGTCCGATGCAAAAATCGTCCTGTAACGTTTTTGTCTGGGCGGCATGCGCGACCTTGGGTGCAATGCTGACGGCAAGTGCTCCGGCACGCGCGTGCCTCCCCCCGATACAGAACGCAAAACGTGGGGCTGCGGGCGCGGGCGCGACATGGTCGGGGCCGGCGCGCAGCAAAGCAAGAAGCCACGTGCCAGTTCTTGGCGCGGCACCTGGGCTCAACATCTGAAAGTGCATACGGCCCTTACTTTGTAAGCGACCGGAACATATGCAATCGGAGTGGTGGTTTGATTGGTGGGGACGCTTCCGGGGAATAAATAACTAAGTGAATAAGGAAATGGAAGGATCATAGTAATGAGACGTGCGCCTGTCTGGCCTTCGCGGGGGCCAAGACGGAAGAGGAAGGGGCGCGGGGGAACAGCCGGATACTAGAATCTAGAGCGGAAAGGCAGACATATAACTTTTGCATCCTAGGTGTTAAGCGGAGGTGTACAGCGTGTATTATAGCGGGCGCGGGGAAGCATCTTGAGCCAAAACAGCAACAAAGGGAAACAATTCCCGCGCCCACCCTTCATTGATAACCTACCGTTCGAGTCTGGTGCTCAAGCGGGTCCGTCGCGCCTCGTCGGCCGCCCAGACGCGAACCGTCCAGACCACCAACAAGACAACACAAACTGACTAAACAGTCACAGCGCAGGACAGGGCAAGAAAGGGGTTCTACTGACCACCCCTCTTAGAGAAACTTGCAATGCCAGATTCCTCACAAAACACTGCACTGGCAGCGGGCAATTGACAGCGCGAACAGACTGACAACGAACCTGCTGCCTCTCGAACACACTTCGAGACACAACCCTTCAATGTAATGATGACTGCACCGCATTCGCCAACACAGGTCGCGACGTGCGGGCTTCTGCGCCCCCCACGCTCTGTGTCGAACTGCATTGCAGCTGAAATGCCTGAAGTAGATGGCTGAAGGCCGCGTCGCATTCGCGAACATAGTTCGTGACAGGCGAGTCGCTTCGGGGTTGCCCTGGAGAGACGCCCGGGCAACCCGACGCGTTGATTTCCTCGTGATACGTCGGCAAATTCGCGTTGCAGGGGTGCCTCTCCTGGGTCCCCCTGGGGACTTTTCGGGACAGGGACAACTACTTCTCTCCCTGATGTGCTGCGTCGCATTCGCGCACGCAGTTCGCGAAATGCATGTCGGCCGGCGCGTTCGCGAACGCAGTTCGGCCATGCGACGCCGAGTAGATCGCCAGTCGTCGTTGTGCTGGTTGAGGTTGCTGTAGCTGGATCTCGGCGCCGTCTTCTTGTGGCGCTCCTCGCCCAACCTCGCCGCGGGGCGTGCGTGGGCGAGCGGGCGAGCTTCCCTTCCGCGGTGTCGAGGATGGGCTCCAGGCCGATGCTTCCCTTCGCCGTGGGGTCGGCCCTCGTGTCGCGGGCATCGCGCCACAGCATGTCGGACAGCTGTTTGGTGCGCGGCTGGTCTGCTAGCCACTGCGGGCGGCCTGCCATATGATTCTCCGATGGCGGCCGCGCGCAGTCAATGGCCAGAGCGAAGCAGACGGGCGCGCCGTCCGCAACCTGCCCGGTCGGTCCATCGCAACCTCCTTTCCTGCAGGCCGTCTGCTGCTCCACGTGCTGCGAGCAGCTTGGAGTCGAATCAGGACTCGCGCGCAAGTTTGCGCGATCGGCTTGCAGCGTCGACGCATGCGCGCGGCGCCGCGCACGCCGTATCCTGTCTCCTCCTCGCGCTCGAGCAAGCCGTCGCTGCGCGCGCAGATCGGCCCGCGCGCTCCGTCGTCGGGAGGACGACGCGCACTTTGCTCTTCTTTGTGGCCAGAACAACGGAGCTGAGCTGCATAATGCGGCTGATGAGCAGTTTGTCCTCGGCCCGCTGCATCGCGACGATGCGCGCGAAAACGCGGCGTTGCGCGAACAGCGCATGGGCGGCTGCTCCGGGGAGGGGGGCGAAAATATCCGGGAGCGGACCTCCGGCCGGCCCGTCGGTCCACAACTCGGCCAGGTCGACGAGTCGGGCGGGGGTCAGCGCGTCGATGCGCTCGTCCTGGTCGAGCGTCACTGCGCCATCGGCGCCATGGTGTCGGCGTGCGCCGCAGTTGGTGAAGTCGTCGTAATTACCCTTCATTTTGCGGCATGCGCTCTCGATGTGGCCAATCAGCTGGTCTGTGTTTGCCTTGCGCCCAGCGATCTTAAACTCGTCGACGTGCTTAGACGCCATGATCGCTGAATCTGAGCCGCTGGCACCGCGGGCGCTGGGCGACCAGCGTTAGACCTCGAGCTCTGGGCCCCGCCGCGTCGGTTCGGCGTCGCGCCCGGCGAGCGCGCGGCCCGGGCGAGCTTCGCGGAGGCAGCCCTGGGCGCATCTTTGCAGCCCGTGTCCGGCTTGATGTAGCGCGCGCGCTCGGTCCGCTGGTCGAAGGGCTCGTGGACTGGGGCCTGCCTGCGGAGGGTCGCGCTGCCCGGCGGCTGGGTGGAATGCACCTCTCTTGGTACTTTGCCCTGCTCCTGCATCTTGTCATGCGTCATGCCTTGCAGGAGCGCTTCCTCGACGCCCCCGGCGACGCGCGCTGGGCTCGGGCGACGCGCCGCCCCTGAAGACAGCATGCGGTGAGACGCCCGTTTCGCCGCGTCGGCGAACGCCCCATGGCTCCGGCGCCCGCGTCGCAGATCGCGCCCATCGGCTTATTACATGGATGTGCCCCACAGGGCTGCATTTGCGAAACAATTAAAACATGCTCCAAACATGTAAGTCCTGGATTGCTAAAAACGCCAGAAAACATTCCAAACATTCACGGCGGATTTTCAAAACATCGACGCATAATGATTACGTGGCTAGCGGCGCTGCGACGCCGCAAAGCATAGTCCACGCGCGCTCGCGCGATGCATCCTCGCATTTCCCTTGCAACGAGTAAGGGCATGAGTTCCGCGTGGAACGCTTTAATCTGCAAATTGCGGCACTGGTGAGGGGGGGAAGGGGGCGGCGGGAGGGGGCGACATAATGGCGATGAGACGTTGGACGCCGGCGCCGCCCCGCGTTTTTGCAATCCTCCATGAGGTCACTCCGAGAGGGGCGGCACCAAAAGCGAACTCTTCCTTGCCCTATCCTCGCCCTTCCGCCCCTGCGCCGCTCATGGGAGCCCCCGCCAAACAAATGCTCATCCCCCCTCCCCCGACGGCGTCGACGACGAACGGCGAGTCGCGTCGACGACGAGGGCCGGCGACTGCAAGGCCGACGACGACGACGGCCGTCAGCGATCGCAGCGTTCTCCCACCTCCTCGTCCTTCTCATCCCTCCGCCCTCCTCTTCTCCCCAACTCCCAGTCGCGCCGCCTCAACCGTGGTGCTTTCGATTGCCCTCGTCTTGCTGATCCCCCTCCCCCTCCTCGCCGCGCGTACTCGCGTTCTGCTTGCCCGCCCGTCCGTCCCCGCCTCCCCCCCGAGCCCCGGGCGACTGCAACGGCGACGCGCGCCCGCGACGGCGGCGAACGACGGCGTGGGCGCCGAGCGAGGGCGGGCGAGGAGGGGGGGGGGCGGTCGTGAGCATGGTCGCTGCGGCGGACCACCGCGCGTCGCATTCGGGGAACCCCATCGGCGCCCACCCCTCAGCCCGCGGGCCGCGCGTCGACGGGCGGTCGAAGCGCCCGAGGAGTTAGCAGACAGAGAGGGCGATCATAATGAGGAGCAGGAGAAGGTCGACGACGGGGAAGAACGACCGGCAAGGAATGGAGGTGCCGGGGGAAAACCAAGAGATAGAGGAAGAAGATGCGCGGGGGGGAGGGGTACATGGGCAAATAGAGGGGGCGGCTTGCTCTCTCACGCCCCCCCCCCGTCCTCGCCCCCGCCCCTCTTCTCCGACGTGTGCCATTTAGAACTCCTCCCATCCCCCCGACCCCGCCTCCCATCCCGCCGACCCTGACCTTTGCCATCCACATCTCAACGACCTCCCCCTCGCGCTTGAGTCGACCTCGCGGCCCCGTCGCCCCCGACCGGCCCCCCCTCTAACTGTGCCCCGCTTCCCTCCGCCAGCGCCTGCGCTGGTGCTTGGCCAGCTCGCTCGAAGTTGATGGCCCCCAGGCAACGGTCGGCCGTGCGCTTGCGCGTGGCCGGAAGCCCGCCGCGCTGCCTGAGGATGGCCTTCGACGAGACCGCGCTCTTGTGGAGGGCCACTGGGCTGAGCTTCTCGCTGAAGTAGCCGATCGCGACGCGCGCCGCCCCGCTGATAGTCAGCGAGGCGACGGCATCATCGATCGCCTTGCTGTCGAAGCCGTCCCTGCCGAGATCACCGCGCAAGCATTCGTGGTCGCCGAGGGCCCGGCGAGGCCGAGGACGCCCGCTGCTTAACCCGAAACTTTGTAAAGTGGCAGGTCCCCCAAGGCAAATGAGCCGATGCCGCGAGAGAACCTGGCCGCCGAAAACCCTGCATTCTCTCCATCCCTTCTACCTTGCGCTCGTCTTTGCATTTATCATATTCCTTCCTTGTCCTTCTCCATGTCTTTCCTCCCTCATCCTGCCGTCCGATCCCATCGCCGCCCTTCATCTCTTTGCCTCCTCTCCGCGCATCCTCCCCACCATTATTTCCATTCCTCCCCGTGGATCCCTCTCCCCCTCTTGCCCTTCTGTCGCCCCCCGCCGCGCCCCCCCCCCCCCCCCCGTCCCGAGCCCGGGCGCGGCGCCGCGGCCGGGCGAGGGGGGCCCAGGGCAATGCGAGCAACCATAGGCGACGAGGATCGCGCGCCAGGCCCCCGGAGGCCAGCAAGAAGAACACAAGTCGGACTCGCGAGGATGCCCACTGGGAACACGAAGGGGTGAACGTTCGCGCGCGGGCAGGGCGTTGAGATTAGCAGACTGCAGAAAGAAGCACGGGGGAGGGGGCGGATGGGGGCCAAGGGGAGGGAAGGAGGACAAGCCTGGCTCACGGTCGCGGCGCAATCCTTGAACTTGTCGGAGCCTGTCTCCCCGATGGTGTCCTTGCCGTGTGCGATGAAATCCTCGAACCTCGAGGCGCCGTCCACGCCCGTGAACCAGTGCTTGCCATTCTCGCCGCCCTTCGCATGCACCTGGATGTCCTTGGTCATGGAGACCAACTTGTTGCTGCTGCACGCGAGCGCGGCGTCCGTGACAAACTTCGCGAACTCCTCGAATTCCGAGAGGGCCTTGACCACCGCGGGCTTCGCAATGTCGATCGCCGCGCCCTCCATGGACTCGCGCGCCTTCAGGTGCTTCTGGACAGACTCGGCCTTGCCCATGCTAGTGCGCAGGGAGTGCGAAATCTTCTGACT